AAAAACCTGACTCGCAAGAGAGTGCTGCTACATTGACTGACAAATAGCCTGACTAGCAAGTGAGTGCTGCTACATCGACTGAGGGATTGGTTTAGGCAGGTAGTCTATCATTCAAAAAAAAATTTTATGAAGTTTTTTAACATTTTCTGGTCAGGCTTATTAATGCGCTCTTTAAAACAAAAGTTTATGGGAAAAATTTTGTTACTACTATGCAAAACTATATATATATATATATATATATATATATATATATATATATATATATATATATATATATATATATATATATATATATATATATATATATATATATATATATATATATATATATATATATATATATATATATATATATATATATATGTATATATATATAAGTATACGGATATATATATATATATATATATATATATATATATATATATATATATATATATATATATATATATATATATATATATATATATATATATATTTATATATATATATATATACAGTTTATGGGAAAAACTTTGTTACTACCATGCAAAACTATATATATATATATATATATATATATATATATATATATATATATATATATATATATATATATATATATATATATATATATATATATATATATATATATATATATATATATATATTTATATATATATATATACATATATATATATATTTATATATATATATATATATATATATATATATATATATATATATATATATATATATATATATATATATATATATATATATATATATATTTATATATATATATATATATATATACCCAGCCGGCATTATTACGTTGTTTTAACGTTGAAATTCGGTTGAAGCGTTGATTTAACGTTGTTCAACTATGTCACAACGTTAAATCAACGTTACCGTTTAAACGTTGATTATTTAACGTTATTTCAACGTTAAATCAACGTTACAGTTTAAACGTTGATTATTTAACGTTATTTTAACGTCATTATTTCAATCATTGTTGACAAAAAATACCATATAAAATTTATGCGCGCGCAGAAATTGTAAACATTATTTCAAAGATTAAAGTTATAGAGATTTATAATGGAAAAAAAAATGTAAATACTGAACTTATATCATATAGAATTTTCAAGAGATCGAAAACATGTTCAGACAATTTTACTGAAAGTTAATTAAAAAAATTATCGTTTAAAAATCGATACTTTTCGTTTAACTTGGGCTACAATGCTCAACGACTGATATTATTAAATGTAAATATAATACAGAAATGATCCATTAAATTATGTTAAATTTAATGCTAAGCATTGTTTTTTAATAGACCATCAAGAATTAAAAAAGGAAATTGATAACTTTAAAAAAGAACTTCAGCACGAAATAAAAAAATAAAGATTTATTTGAAAAATTAACTTCAACCACATCAGTTATTACTATGAAAACAGACAAACTTGTATGTAAACATAATCCAAACAAATCGTGTTATTGCAATTTACTTGTATACAAACATTTATTTTAAAAATAATTGATCTTGCGACTTTTATACTGGCCTTACATCTGTCAATGTGTTTCATCAGTTAGTGCAGTATCACCATTAATCAAAAGAGATAAAGTGATTTTAAAAAAACATTTAATTCTGTTTTTTGAAATTTAAAAAAATGCTTAACTACTTGGACCAAAATAAATGTAATGCAGCAAAGATGAATTTTTAATGATGCTAATACTTGGATTATTGACAGCTGATTTTGCTGACAGGTTTAATATATATTTTTAGGATTAGCGAATGCAATATTTTCTTCATTGTTGAAAGCTTCTAGCTCACTTTTAAACCACATGGTTTTTGTTCCAAGTAAAGATGTTATAAGACAGGCAATGCAAAACAGATTTTAGAAATTAAATTATTCAGACTAACACTAAATTTTAGATATAACAGAATTTATTATGAAACACCTTAAAATTTTGACTTACATAAACTGACAGGGAATGAATACAAACATTACAACAATATAAAAACATTAGTACCCGTAGATCCAAATTCATCAATAATTTCTTTAAATAATTTCTAAAGCTTACAGAAGCTAAATTTTGGATAAAAAAATTACATATCGCAACATTTATCTAGATTGTATTACAAAATACTCTTGTATAATGTATGATTAAGGCTTTAATATTAATTTTTTAATACAAATGAAGTGATTTTAATTAAATCCATTTTTATCAGTCACTTTAAAAATATGATGAGTATTTGTATAAAGATAATTAAAATTTCAAACAATAATATTAGCTTTACTTGTTGTTTTTTTTTAGGTGAATCAATTGCAATTGATGGAATATCTTTAAAATGCTGAGGTAATCAAAATAATTTTTAATTATTCAGGAATTTTAAGGATTAAATTATTTAGCAAAAAAATTGTTTAATAATGAGTTTAATTTAAATTGAAAAAAAAAATTAATATTAGTTCTCGCACAATTAATATTAATTCTCTTATCTATTAAAATTTAGAATATTTTCCAACAATTTTGTGACCTCCATGAATATAAAGGGGAAAGGTGGAAATATGCTTTAAGAGCACTAATTTATACGGTGTAGTGAAAGGTATACCTTTATAAGATATGTAAAACTTTTTTATCTCATTTTTTATATATTCAAAAATATCTTCTAGTGTTTTTTTTTTTTTTTTTTTTTTTTTCTAATTCTTTTTTATTAACAGCTTCTTCTATTAAATACGATGGGGTGACTGAAACTTTAATTGATGGCATTCTAACTTCTAAAAATGCTCTTCATTTCGAAAAGGTGGCGGAAAAGAAAAAAATTTAGATTGATTGATATAAATTTATATTTATAAAAATCGATCTAAAATTTCTTTATTGAAATATTTACATATATTTCAATAAAGAAATATTTTCTTTTTGTCTGCTAATATTTTTTTTTTCCGTGTTAATTCAACATTACAAATTAAAACTCAATAATGAAAAAAGCCTAGAATTGAGTTGATGTTTTAAGTAAAATAAGAAAAGCCCAAAAAGTAACTGATGTAATATTTTTATTTTTTGATAAAAAAAAAATTCTAATAATGTTTAAAATTGGTATTAATATTAATGTTTATTAAATGAAGATGAGTAAAAAATAAGTGATGTTTATTAAATGAAGATAAGTAAAAAAATAAGTTACAAGTTATTTTTTGGTCTTGAAAATTGTTTGAATGATAATTTATTATTTATCAAAATATTTTCTTTTTTAATTTTTGTTTTTATATTTTAATTAAAAGTAGATAATATTGTGTCATATGTTTTAATATACCTTATATTATACTATTATATTTTATATTAATAATGAGTATTTTTGTTTTTTTGTATTTCAATTTTTTTTTCAATATTCCATAATTATCTTATGTAGATGTTTATGTTTTAGCAACCTAGTATTCTTTCATTATTTATCTTTGTTATTGAGCCTTAAGTTATTTGAACATAATATATTCAGAACTCTGCTGAATAATAGAGTAATAAATAAATTAATAAAAATGAGTTTAAAATATAATAAAATTATAAAATAAAAAAAAATCTCATCTTTTTTTTTTTTTTTTTTTTTTTATTTTATTTCACCTCCTCAAGGCCGAGAAGGCCACTACAGACGAGGAGGCTACTTATTTAAGGTTATAACCCTCTCTCAACTCTATAACTCCGAAACACGAACCTTGACGAGCAAGGCCGCTGCGCCGAGAAACGAGTTGAGCGCGGTACTACCAGGGACGTGGTGGGGATCGAACTCGGAACCACTCTTTGCTTATAATGTCTACTAATATTATTGTTTAGCAAGTATCATGGTTATAAAATGTTCAAATTTAGCTAGTTTAATTAGGCCTGTTAGTACACTTATATTATGGTTTCTTCATTTTATATTAGTTCATGTAATTTTTTCAAAATCGAATATGCGGAAAGGAGCTGTTTGGAATAAAGATTTACAAGAAGAAGTAATTCCATCTGATTGGATTAGTGATAAAACTGTTTGTCGGCTTCCAGGTACCAAAGCATTGACTGCACTAAAATGCAGAGAAGAATTGGCTTAAGTTTATACAAATAAAAACTAAATTCTCTTCAGTTATTACATCTATATATTACAGTTATTATTTTTTAAATAATGTGGTATAAAGAGTTATTTTGTTGATACAAAATGTATAACTATTTGTATAACTATTTTAATTCTAAAAGAAAGCAAACAGTATTGTGAAAATTTTAAATTCACAACTACAAAAGAAAAATGTGATAACGAGAATGTTGACAAGTGGATGCAAGATTTGCACACAAGTGGAAACTTGGATGCAAATTTTCCACTTGTGTGGTTTGGATGGTTCTCCACAATATAATATATCTCCACAAGCATAATATTAGATTTACTTCATGTTTTTTTACAGATAAATCAATTACAGTTAATTGGTGGAGTTACCATATTTATAATCAGGGTGTCTGCAGCTCCTCTAAAATCCTCTAAAGTCCTTTTTTTGTAAAACCACTTCTAAAGTCCTCTATTATCCTCTAAAGAGGTAAAAATTTGATCAAAGCTCCTCATTAATTCTTCCTTTTTTAATTTTTGATGGATGTATAATGTTCAAAATACCCATTCTCAGTCTGCAAAACTGGTTAACGCCTTAAAGTGCTCGGAATTGTAAAAAATTGCTTTAGAAAATGCATGCTATTTAACATAGCAAATGACATTATTTGATCCCTGTCCAAACCCCATAAGTGTATAAACATGGAAGTTAAACCATTAATAAATGGCCACATAAAATTTCTTATTAAAATTTTATGTGACCACCCCGAAATTTATTTTTCAATGCTAGAAATGTTTTATATTTTGATTATTAATTTATTTTTAATATATTAAAAAGGTTGTTTTATTTAAATTAAATATTTAAAAAAGTTATTAATAACCAACTAACAGTTATATTATTTTTTAAAAAGTCAGAGTATTTTCGAAAAGTTATATGGCCTCCATGGATATGAAGGGCAAAGGTGGAAAAATATGTTTTAAGAACACTAATCTATATGGTGTTGAAAAAGATATACCTTCATAAGTTGTAACACTTTTCCATTCATTATTTATTTTTTAAATCTTCCCTTTTTTTTTTTTTTTTTTTAAATATATTTTTTTATTTACAGCTTTTTATATTGTACTCAATAGACCAAAAGAACCCTCGGTTAATGGAACATTGTTTGACTTTCTAAATTACGCTTTATTTCAAAAAGGTGGTGGAAAAGAGAAGAAATTTGTGTAGATTTTATTCAATTACATGTAAATATATGTAATATTTGAATATGTATTTTTGAATAAAACAAGTTTTATCTCTTTCTTTAATCATACCTAGCTATTTTAACTAAACTAAACTTAAAAAGTTCTAAATAGTCTAAGTATAGACTATGAATAGATTTAATATCCATAATATACATTGATAATGTCCAGCAACACTAATGTACATGCATAGTACGTTTTGATGGTGATCATATTTTGACGCACATAGCACGTTTACATACATATATACATTTTGACTTACATGGCACGTTTTGATGGTGAAAAAGTTAATTATCAAGGTAAAGCTTAATTATCAAAGGACATTATCAAGGTATATTATGGATAAAGTGAAAATTTTACAGTCGTTTAACGTTGATAAATCAACGTTAAAAAAACTATCATTTAAAACGTTGTATCAACGTAAATTCAACGTTGTTGTAACGTTTTTTCGCGTCGAATTAACGTTGATATAACGTTTAAATCTAACGTTGATTTAACGTTGATAAATCAACGTTAAAAAAACTTTCATTCTAAACGTTAAATCAACGTAAATTCAACGTTATTGTAACGTTTTTTCGCGTCGAATCAACGTTGATATAACGTTTGAACCTAACGTTGATTTAACGTTGATAAATCAACGTTGAAAAAAACTATCGTTCTAAACGTATGTATATATATATATATATATATATATATATATATATATATATATATATATATATATATATATATATATATATATATATATATATATATATATATATTTATATGTATATATATATCTATATATATACATATATATATATATATATATATATATATATATATATATATATATATACACACATATATATATATATATATATATATATATATATATATATATATATATATATATATATATATATATACATATATATATATATATATATATATATATATATATATATATATATATATATATATATATATATATATATATATATATATATACATTCAATAATAATTTAAATCCAGAAATACATCTATGTAATGAAACTTAAAGTTTTATGACTTTTTTTGCAATATTCAGTCATATTATCAAAACATATCAAAAATCCGATACTCAGCGGAATCAAAGCGATAGTGTTATAAATTTATTTTCTACTATTTTTAGAGATGTATTTCCAATAGTATACATACATACACAGACATACACAAATATATATATATATATATATATATATATATATATATATATATATATATATATATATATATATATATATATATATATATATATATATATATATATATATATAAATTTTTTTAAAAACGTTTTGAAGTATATTCTTTATCAACGTTAAAAAAAACCGCTTTTTAAACGTTACTTTTTTAACGTTGAATAAGCGTATAAATTTAAACGTATCTTATCTTCTCAAAAAAATGCGTTTATTAAACGTTGAAAATAAGTACGCAAATAATCACTGTAAAAACGTCGCAAAGGTAATGGTTTATCAACGTTAGACATTAGCTGCTTTTTCAACGAATTTAAACTATTTGAAAAACAACACTTATTGAACGTTATTTCAACGTTGGTTGAAAATACCGACTTTACGAAATCTAAACGCCAACTGCAACCGCAACTTCTTAGGACAAAATGTTGATAATGCGCATGCGTGAGCTTAGGGTAATACCCTAGTCGCGTTTTAAAGTTCTAGACCGGACGTAAAAATTCAAGTTTAAGCGTTGCAGTGAAAACGTGAAATAGTTATGATAACGTCAAAAAGTTTTTGTGGTTTTTAAATTTATATCGTTAAGTCGGCTAATTATTTTTATTTTAAATCTGAATTACTAACTTTACATATGTGTGTGTGTGCTGTAATGATCTTATAGCGCAGTTTATCTTTGTTATGGAATCTTCATGTGGATCAATTACAACATCTTTAGCAAGGTAATATAACTAAATGTAAAATCTGACTGTCATACAAATCTGTGATTTATATTGTATAAGTAATGATTTTTAATAATTTAATTGATATGTTTATTAAAATAACTATTTAACTATAAAATGTTTTATTTTTTAGTTTAATGCGATGGACTCAGCTGCATGATTACACATTATTAATGGAGGTATTGACCTTCGAGCCATGGCAGTTTAAATGTGGATCAAAAGAAAGAGGAGATTCATGGGAAATAACTATCCAACTCTCTTAATGGACTACCAGAACCTTATTTTAAAGTTACTGGTAGATCAACTTGTGATCACATTAACCTTTTGATTGAAAAGTTTAAAAAAAAAGATACAAAAGAAAAAAATGCAAGTGAAATTACATGTGACTTGACAGATTATGATGTGGCTATTGCTGATGTCTATGAGAGATTTCAACAATCTGAAAGTATTTTTTAAGAGCAATTAGAGCATAATAATGGAAAGATTGATGTGGATAATGTTCAAGCAATAGAATTGCGTAAAAGGTCATTAGAGACACATAAGGAAACTGAAAAGCGAAACAAAGGACAAAAACTCTTAAAAAAGTCAAGAAATAATAGCAATGAAACTATTGCTTATTTAAAAGAGAAGAATGAAATAGAAGTAAATATTAGAAAAGAAGAACTGGAAATTAAAAAAAGAGAAGTTGAAGCACAAGTATACACAATGCAACACATTCTGCAGCAACAAAATACCTTGATGCAGCAACAAAATAACATGATGCAGGCTATGATGTAACAGCAAGCATCTTTTTTAGAAATTTTAAGCAAATTTTTACCAGAAAAAAAATAAAGTTATTTGTGTACACTTTTTTATATTTCATAAAAAAATTATTTAAAGTAGTCTGAAAGCGATGGTGGTTGGCAATCAAAACATGTTGTTGTTGTTGAACCATATAGGCAAACACGTGCATTGTGCATTAATGCACAAACCAAATACATTTTAGAAACTGGACTAGTCCCACTTTAAGAATCTTTTTAAAGTCTAAAAATTTAAAATAGTTAACAATATCTCCAAATACCCACTCAACAGCAACACGAACTTTACTCATATTTTTGTTCCAAATAAGCTGCTCAGGGGATATGTTAGCTCTTTTAAACCCACATTGTAAATTAACTCTATGGGGGTATGCAGGGTCTCCATAAACACACAAAGGTTCTCTATTGCTATTGAAAGAACAAACCGCTAATTTATTTAATAAATTTGAATTGGCAAGCATACCGCTCTCATGTCTTTTCCCTTCCACAGGACCGTATAGATTGGCAATTAAGCCATTGGGTGCAACTAGTGATTGGAACTTTATTCCGTGACACCTGTTATGTCCATTGTAAAGTATTTTTTGGTGCTCTCTAGGACGACTTATTGGTCTTAAAGTTCCATCAATAAACCCCCAGCAGTTTGTAAGAGGAGCTCCTTTAGCATGAATAGCAGCGGCAAACATTTCTAGATGCTGAGTATCTAACCATCCCTGATTTAAGTTGGTAAGTAAATGGCCCCATTGTGCAAAAAATAAATTCATAATATGGTTTGAAATCATACATAATTGTGGTACTGGTCTTGTAAATCGTGGAATCATATCTTGATACCTGCAGGGGTAAGCAAAACGTTTTAAAAAAATACAAAAGGCTTCGTCAGCTGAAATGGTGATGCCATTATAACACGTTATCTTCTCGGGAATGTTAAGAAGATCAATTATTTCGAAAATATCTTTTGATAAAAAACGAAATTCGCTTTTTGCTTCATCCACTGATATGTTGTCTAAATTAAATCTTGGATAACTTTGATAAGACAAATTTAAGTTATTAGATTTATTAACGTCGTAAAGTAATAACAGCTCTTCATCGTTTATTGTGTTACCAGAATTAAAAATAAGTAACTGGTTACGAACCTGGGAAAATTTTATCATATTTATTTAAAAAATAAAGGTTTTCAACTTTATTTCTTAGTTGTATCGTTGCACCGAATGAGATTTTTACTTCAAAACATTAAGGATTTTTGTACAAAAAAAAATCATACAGAAAAATATACAGAACTATACAAAATTACATAAAGTGACGTTTTCATAGTAATTTTCGTAACGATATTTTAATTAAAACGGCTATGACAACGACGACTTGTAAAATCATAGTTTCTACGTTCTAGTTCCAGTAGGCGTTTTGATTTCGTAAAGTCGGTAATGTGCTAATTAAAAAACGTTAAAAAAGTGTTATTTTGCCAACGTTGTTTTGACAATGTTGAGGAAGTGGCACATTGAAAATTATTGTTTCAATAACTAGCCGTAATGGAAAGGCAAGGAAAACATGATAGAATGCATGCATATGGTATAAAAATTTTTTAAATAAAGTTATATTTTATAGCCTATTTTATTGCGACTAATTTTTAAATTAGTCGCAATAAAATAGGCTATAAAATATAACTTTATTTAAAATTTTTTTATACCATATGCATGCATTCTATCAAGTTTTGGGTGATTCCATGTGAAAACATCCAATTTTTTTTGAAAATGCAACCATAAGTCTCAGATTTTGCTGATTTTTAAACCACTTAAAGATTTTAGTAAATTATGAACATCCTGAAAATTTTATCGTCTAATTTCAATCGGTTTCTAAGATATAGCTATTTTAAGTTTTCCTCCAACCAACAAAAATCCGCCATTATTAAAAATGGTTTTGGTCCTAGTTTCTGTTATATGTGTGTTGGAAAGCCGAAAATTTGTACCTTTACATATTTTGGGCCAACGAATCCAATGAAACAACTTAAAATATTTAAAAACAAGCATAACACCTAAAATTTGAACGTTTACCACAATTTTACTGGGGCGAGTCCGATCACCAAAATGCCGATGTAGCTCTATTTTTTTTTTTTTTTTTTTTTTTTTTTTTATAGAAGTTGTCCTGAATAGTTAAGCTATAGTTACTACTAAGAATTGGAGAGTGGTCTTTTCTAAAACAGAAATAAAAATATGGTCAAATCTACTTAAATTTATTGTTTAAAAAACAGGTATTACGACAAATTAAACAAGAAAAAAAATGTGGTAATTTGACAGTTTTGCAACTGAAACAGTTTAGACTACATCAAACTGTTCTTTTAGTTGTTGTTGACTAGCTGTTTTTGTTTTCTTTGTAATTTTTTAGAATCTGATCTTTAAAAAGTTTAGTTTCAAGGGGGAGAATTATATAAATGCAGATGTATATTGCAAATTTAGTTTTTTTTTCAGAAATTGTATTAAATAGTTTAGTTATTGTGTTATAATCATTCACATCAATGTTATATGTTCGCCCTGATTTTGTTGTTGGGACTTTGATTACTGCAATCAAACTCGACAATGGTACCCAACAGATATCATCTCTCTGTGGCCAAATAAAGTTTTGAGAAGGGCCGTGAGGGTGCATAAACTTAATTTGAATATCATTTAGAATAATATCTATCTCTGTAACCATGCCTATCCACCAAAAGGAATCGTAGTTGCATGCAACAAAATCATTTAGATTTGGTACAATAACAACATCAGACATTACTGCTTTTGACAGTATAAATCTGTCAACACATTGGTGTTCGCTTGTTCTTTTAAAACTAATTTCAAATTTTGAAATAGGTATGTAATGATGATAACTTCTGGTACCTGGAACAGTTTTTCCTGTTTCAAATCGCTTCTTTAGTTGCTGTCTCCTTGCATTACCTGTTTCTTTGGAAATTTTATAAAATATGATTGTGTTTATATTGGTGATGCAAAATTCAAGCATATCATCAACTGTTAATATTTGGTTTTCCAATGCCCTTTGCAAACTTGCTCTTGCTGTTATTCTTTTAACGATACCACCTATGCCATCACAAGTGGATTTTCCATGGCTGGTTGCAAAAAATACCCATTCAGCTGTAATCTCAAAATCTTCCTTATGGTGGCATAGATTTATAAAGTTTTTATAGTTTTTATAATGAGCAGAACATCCATCAGAAAAATAATAAATTTTATTGATACCAACTAAATATTCCTTAATGTACTCTACAATTTTCTTTTGAAATTCATACACAAAGCATGTATCATGATCATTGTCATCACTTAAAAAACAGAATGACTTATGCTGAATATTCGTTTTAGAAAATTCCTTAAAATATATAACAACAGGATGAAGTGTACATTGTTGTTTATTCCAATGATAACTTTGTACTTCATCCTGTATAACAAATTGATAGTTCTCTGCAAAATGTGCCTGTATAATACATTCATTGTAACCTAAATTATTTTTTAGTTCTTTCAAATAGCGAGTTTGGCATTTAGCAATATATGAATGTGAAGTTAGATGATTAATGTGAGAAACAACTAGTTCTTTATATTCAAATAAGTTAACTGATCGAGTAATTAATTGTGATCTATCAGTACTTTGCCATTGGTTGAATTGAATTTCTTCTTCTTCATCAATCTCAATTAATTCCTCATCTAAAAATGCCTTTAAGTTATCATAACCTGGACATTTGGCACATCTATGAACCATGCATTCATTATTGCTTGTATCACATACTAATTTTGACATTAAATCTTTGTATGTAACATTCCATTGGACAGCATTTACAAGCAATATTGAGTTTTGATGGTAAATACAAACACATACACAGTGTGTACCATTTGGTCCCACACTAATACACCATTTTGGACGCAAACTACAAAACTTTGAAAATCCTATTTTATAATTAGGGTATTTACTTTTAAAATCAATATAAAGCTCATGAAGGTTGCACAATAATAATCTTTTTTGTTGTGGAGGACTACTTTTAACTTTAACACAATCTTTTTTACCAGGCATAATTCTAGAATGTTCATCTTGTTGAAAAAAATCTTGAACCAAAGCTGTAAGAAAGTCAGGTATTTTTTGGCCTATTTTCTTATCCGGTATAGCAAGAATTCCATGTTCACTTTTAAGTTTCCTAGCACGTCGTATAAGATGTTCAGAAACTTCAAAATATTCTAAAGCGTATTTTCTAGACCAAGATTCAGGTGTAAGTGTTAATATTTGAATTTTTTTTTTAAATGGTTTAACTTTAAGTTTTTCTTTCATTAAAGTTGTCAAATGATCAAGATCATTTGCTTTTTTTTTATCCATAGATTGACTGGAAAAAGTCGAGGCTACACTTAAATTATCTATATTTACTCCATAAGCACTTGCTACACCTTCTTCCATTTTTGTGTAGACTTTGACTAATTTTCTTTTTGCTGTTACAACTCGTTGATGCTTTGCGACACCATGAACTTTAATTGGTAAGACTTCAATTGATATTAAAGAATTGTCTAACTGTTATTTATTACAAGATTTATCTTTAACAAATAATACATCGCCATCAATTTCACTATCCATTTCATTATCAGAAACTTCATCGCGACTTGACAAAAACTGAATACATGAGCGACAAAATTTCCATCCTGGTTTACAGTCTAGATTTTTGGATTTAAGGTTATGAGTCATTTCAAGAGATATGGTTGTTTGACCTAAAATAAAATCATTAATTTTAAATAAACATACCCTGCTTCTAAATTTATATATATATATATATATATATATATATATATATATATATATATATATATATATATATATATATATATATATATATATATATTTATATATATATATATATATAAATATATGTATATATATATATATATATACATATATGTATATATATATATATATATATATATATATATATATATACATATATATACACTCCTTTTTGATCATTAA